GTTTTGCAGGCACGCCGGGCTACCTCTCACCCGAAGTCCTCAAGAAGGAACCTTATGGAAAACCTGTAGACATCTGGGCTTGTGGTAAGTGTGTGTGTGTGTGTGTGTGTGTGTGTGTGTGTGTGTGTGTGTTGTGTGTGTGTGTAGGAGAGAGAGAGAGAAGAGAGAGAGAGAGAGAGAGAGAGAGAGAGAGAGAGAGAGAGAGAGAGAGAGAGAGAGAGAGAGAGACTTAATATTTAAATTTCAACACTAGGTTTTAGAATTACAGCAATATTAGCACTATCCTTCACATCATATTTCCAAGTCAGTTTCAAGATTGTTTAACAGCAAGAATAACAGTTGCATTTACTGTCTATCCTTGAATATATCTCTGATATTAAGCCCACATATCTTGCTTTACCTTTCACTTCTATCAAATTCTCATGAACCCTTTTTTCCACAGGTGTAATCCTATACATCCTCCTGGTGGGTTACCCTCCTTTCTGGGATGAGGACCAGCATAGGTTATACGCCCAAATCAAGGCTGGAGCTTATGATGTAAGTTCACCAGCGGATGATAGGCAGGGGTTGGAGGAGCCTCTGGTGGGGGTGGAGGGGTTGTGGTTACTGTCTGGTCATGAGTGTTTTAAATTAGGTTAATTTAGACCATTTTTTAGTTTATTTGGAGGATTTGTTTGTTTAGAGAGAATGAGATGAGTAAGTAGAGATAGATAGATAAATTGACTGATTGATAGGTTTGCAGTTTATAAGTATATATGACTTGTTTATACATGCATTAGGCTAAATCCTTTGTTTGATATATTTCAATTTTGTATAATGATTCTGAGTGATTCTTATTTTGTAATATGATATTTGTTATGTTTAGAGAATTATAAGATAAATTACCTTTTGTTAAAAAAAACAGTATCATAGTGTCTCATATTTTCATTATCTACTTTCTTTTACTACTCTTTTTATCATCTCACTGTATCATGACACAATCACAGAAATTAATGATATATTACTGTTTCCAGTATCCATCACCAGAATGGGACACGGTAACTCCAGAAGCCAAAAACCTTATCAACTCAATGTTGACTGTTAATCCAGCCAAGCGTATTACTGCTGCTGAAGCACTGAAGCACCCATGGATCTGCGTATGTTGTTCAAACATGTTTCCTATTAACTTCCCTATTTTTTGCAGCTGTAATTAGGAACATTTTATGATTTCCTTTCATTAAAAGGATGTGGAGATGAATCATATATGAATTTGAATAATAATGAATGACAGTCATGTGTCTTGAGATGATTAATTGTTGACATATTTGAGAGATGTATCCACAGAGAGGATCAAAGTGGTACACATCTATATAATGAACATTTCTCATTTCTCCCCTTAGCAACGTGAGCGTGTAGCCAGTGTGGTGCACAGGCAAGAGACTGTCGACTGCTTGAGAAAATTCAATGCCAGAAGAAAGCTAAAGGTAAGACCACTTTGATATATGTATTGCTCTTGGAACAGAATATCATGACACCGCTCTCACAGGAGTATCATTGTAGGCTAAGTGTATTACAACTGTGTTTAAGAATGTAATGTAATTTTCATATTAAAGAAATTGAATAATAGAGATAATGTTAAAAGCAAGATAATGAATTATTTTTAATATACACTAAAAAGAAGAAAAAAAGGAAAAAAGGAGATCTTTATATTTGGCTTCTAGATGGATATGATATACACAATATCTTGTAACTATTGCAGATAGAAAATAAAATTCAAACTTCAACTCCATTGTGTAAAGTCTATAATTTTTCATATAAATATCAGAGTAATTATAAGTTTTTAAAAATTGGGTTATCTGTTTTAATGCTACTGAGTATTTATTCTTTTAATTTGGTATATGTATTCAACAGTGGAGCAGCAGTATCAGTGCTAGGAAGGAATAGTGCCTTTGAGTGGTAGTGATGAAATGGCTATTAAAGTAGAGCAAGTAGGCTAGATATTAGACATTGGTGTGAGGGAATAAGGAAAGCATCATGGAATACAGTTCATGATTTAAAAAATGCTAATTTTAATCAGGGAATAAAGGGTACCTCTTGAAGAAGGGTTTTTAGTCTTTCCAATAGTTTTCCTGACATACATGTTGCTGTTAGATAATTCAAAGTGACAGTAAAATTAAGATATTTGTTTGTAATCTAAATGAACCAGTTTTTAAATGACTCAGTAGAAAAAAACATTATTTGTTGACATATTTGACAAAGGATTTAAGACAGCATAAGATCAGAAGAAAACTGAGAAAAGCTTTTGAGTTATGAGTTTTTTAGCAGTTAATTTGCCTTGTTAGGAACTTAAAAGAAAGGCATTAATGTAAATGAGTTCTTCATCTGATGTAGGAAAAAATCAAATTTTGAACTAGTGGCACCCTGTATGGAATAGAGAAATGAAAGTGTTTTGAATTGGAAGTAAAAAAGTTTTGTGCCAATAATTAATAGTGTGAATGAATGTTCTCCATGGTGACTGAATGATAAAAAATGATGCTTAAGCTGCTCTGCATGACCCAGAAATCAGAATGCCATGCAGTAGTTTCCTGCAAAAGCTCCAATTCATTGGCAAGTTAGCAATAAGACCCACATAACCCATTCATCTAAAGAAGTTTTTTTGTTTGTTTGTTTTTTCTATAAAACGGGACTTTTTTGTCAAATTCCATAAACTAGAAAGCTTAGTGTTTTTGGTTATTTTCAGTCATTATTGCATAGGATAGCACATAGAGATGTGGACTGATTTTGTTTAATGATCAAGTATATCATTTAATATTATAGATGGCTTGAATGCTGAAGGATTCACTGAATACTAGAGAAATAATCATATGATTTCTTTGCTGCTACAACTTCCAAATGACTACTAGCTTGACATGACTTCAGCAAAAGATGAGAAATAATACCTCTTTGAACCATGTTTATATGTAGCACGATAAGTTTTTTTGTGACTTGTTGAAAGCTCCTCTATGTAGAGTAATAGGAAAGCAGTCTCATTACATAAGCTTCTGTGCATAAAATAGATAGAATAGTTCTCTGGACACAGAAGTGACAACTGTAATATAGGCTTTATGGAGGATTTAGGGTTGACATAGTTAGCATGCACTTTTAAAGTGTGAAAACCTTCATATGATGATTGTTACTGTCCTAACCATCTATCATATGTCATTTTTAAACTAAACCATTGAATATGTATTATTAATTATCATAAGTAACAGAGTTATCAAACTTTAGAGATAAAAAAAATACTTTCTGTTAAGTTTAGAGGTAAGAGAGCCATCTTCCAAACATAACTGGTGATTCATTCAATAGTCTAAATTGTAGTAACCACCAGTATATTAAAAGTAATGGTTTTTCACATGACATTGATTTTAAAAAGTATACAAAAAATTATTTGAACAAGACTGTCTTACAGTTGATGGAAAATAGACTTGGGAAAGAGGAAGCTAAGATATTCATTATAGAAAAGTTTCTATTGACATATAGTTCAAATTACATTTTATTTTTTATTTTTTACATTTAAGGAATGATTTGAGTTTATCACCATTGCTTCTTACAAAAGCATTATAGATCTTTAAAGAATGTTGCTCTTTTTGTGAAAGGTAGACAGATGAAATTGTAATAAAGACAACTTATAATCAAAAGGAAAATATTTTATTTACTATTTTTGCTTCATCATTTTGATATAGGCTGAAGTCAAGATTGAGAAATAGATTAGATGCAGTTGACCAGTGTCCCAACAAGAAATTCAGTTTTATGATATGACACAAAAGAATACCCTGTATACATTCCTAGATATTAGATTATATCTAGAAAATTGCAGAAATAGAAAGATAATCCTAAGACTTATTGTAATTTGCTGAAGTTAACTCTATTTCTACTGAATGTCAAAGAGAGATAGACTTGTTTAGTCATTGATTTAAAGGAGGTTGTAAGCAAATGCTATTTTAGTTAACAGAAAGGAGAAGAGTTTGTTGGATTAGTGTGAACCCAAGAAAAAAAACAGGATATTATTTTTTTTTATCAGTGGCATGATATTGTGTCTCGGGAAATGGCATATAAAAGTACCTTAAACACTTAATTAAAAAATCATAATCTAAAGTGCTTGTAACAAATTTTGTGACAGTCTTGCAGGTAAGCAGCTTTGTTCAAGAAAAAAGTATCAGAGAACCAGTTATCTATGGGTTATATCCTAGAGTTACATGTTCAGGAAGTTAAAACTTAGAGAAAGTATTTCAAAATCAAACTATGTAACTCCTTAGGATATAACAAATTGTTTCACCAAAAACTCAACAACCAGGAAAAAAGAATCTGAAAAACAATAGCCTCATTGGGTCGTACTCTGCCTATCTCTCCCTTCCCCAAGTTGTTCTTCTCCTTTGTCTGTGCTTACCTTGGCTGTGTAACTGTGGTTCATGATCTGGTGTGGCCTCATTGCAGGGCGCCATCCTGACGACCATGCTTGCCACTGCGTGCAACTTCTCTAGTAAGTCTGTGGGAATGCTTGTATCAGATTTTCCGAGTTTGTATCTTTTTATTAACATTATTCCAGTTTTCCTCTTTCCTTAACTTTGTTCCATGATATTTTCATGCCCATCTTCACCTTTTTCATATTCTGGGTTTACAGGCTGCTGCTGGATCTGCGCTTATGTAGTCATCTGTTTTGATTTTATCAAGATTAAACAGATGAGACCAGTGTAATATCAAACCTGCATATCTTTAGCTTGGTTTTGTAGGGTTTTGTTCTGACTGTGATATACAGGTTTGATACTTAACATTGGCTTGTCCTGTATTTTATTTTGTTCCATATCACGGTTTGTCTTTTACCTTTACTACTTTTTTAACACGTGTGATGCTTATTTTGTTTCGACTGACCACTTCTGCTCCATCTGCGATCTTGGGTACTTGGTCTCCAGCCAACATTCTCCACACCTACATCCTTGTCCATAACCCCAAACCGTATTGCCTCAAACAATAAACTTATTGATTGGTCTTCACCCTAACCTGCTCTAAGGCTTTCTATTTAATTCCCTTGAGCTCCTTGCTGTCCAGCCCTCTTCCTCCTAATATCACCTTGTATCATTTCATTTTCTTTGAACAACCCTATTTCCTGCCAGCTCTTTCTCCATTCCTACCCTGTGCTATCCTCCTCCTGTCAAGCCCTTACCGTTGGTTGCCGTGTTGCAGGGTGCGATCCTGACGACAATGCTGGCGACTCGCAACTTCTCCAGTAAGTACGAAGCACAGGGTAAGTGGGCATCCCCTCTAGGCGGCAGTGGAACCCTAACCTCCCCGCTGACTGACTCCTTGTACCCCAGTTTAAGACTCCCCTCAATCAAGTCATTGCAATGCCATATGTTCAAGTTGTGGAATCATCATGCTGAGAGGAAATGGCATAGCTTTGAGTTGGGACTGGAACGAGCGCTTGTAATCCAGAGTGTCCTATCATGTGCTGCTCACATTCACTTGTTGGAGCACACTTCATTTTCAGTATACGGAAGTGGGTTGGAATTAATGGCACCATAGATTACAAGTGTCCTTTCAGGATGGGTTATTGGGGGGAGTCAGGGGCTGATGATATAAGCACTCCTACCTAAGATTCTTTGCACTCCTCTGGGTCATGATCTTTGTGAAGTTAAAGATTATCCATGTATCTGCCCTAATGGCTTGTGGTCATCCTATTCGTGGACTCTTTAGTAGAGAATAGACAGAAGTCCCTGTGTTCACGCTTTTAGTGCAATGTCCAAATCTTTGCTAGATTTTGGAATGTAATTTGATAAAGAGAGATACAAAGTGGTAAGAGACGTTGCAAGAAGCCTGAAGGAATGGGACATATTTTCATTTAGTGTTTTGATGTTACCATATTTTATGTTGCAATAAATCTAACAACTGGTGTCAAGAGCTCACCACAGATGTGATAAATAATATCAGTGAGGGCGAATTTAAAGCAGGTAATGGCCACGTACGTGTGTGAGCTGTTGTACATTTAACGTCTTTCAGATTATTGTCTTACACGTACAGTATGATGAACCATTCATGTAGATAATGATAAGACTGGTAAATTAAAGATTCTACATGTAAATTTTTGAAGAAGTTTATGTTTTTTTGTCATTTCCTGAAGTAAATGTACATTATGGCTTAAAGAGTTGCTAATCGTAGTATTGTAGTGAATACTTGATCCCTATATAAAATAACTGTAGATGAATTTTGATTACTGTGTTCAAAATTGGGTCTAACTGAACTCAAATTTTAAACACAGTGTAGTGACAAAAAGGTTACCAGAGAATAACATAAATGGCTGTCGACTATTGGTGGTTCTTGTAATAATTATCAGTAGCACACAAACATACAAATACCACATATACACACATTTACAAAGAAAGAAATGAAGTAAAATGAGAGAATGAGTGAGTGAGGAGGTAGTTAGTGACAGAAAAGGTGTAATTTAAGTATTTGTGACTGTAAATAAAGTAAGAAGTAATTAGTAAAAGAAACAAGATGGTAAGTCAGTTGATGGTTTGAATGAGAATTGATGCCTTGTAATATCTAGAATTTTATTGCTTAGGAACTATACTGTATGTGTTTGGGAGAGGTAAACAATTTTAGATGCTGATTATGCTGGGAAAAGGAGGTAGGGCATATTTCATGTGGGTCAGTTATAGCTACTTATGCAGCAGTGTTGGTAATAGAAATAGGGGGTAAGGAAGGAAGGTGTCCTTGTGTGAGGGAGAGAGGGGGAAGAAAGAAAGAAAGAAAGAAAGAAAAAAGAGAAAAAGAGAGGTAGGGAGAGAGAGAGAGTGAGAAAGAAAGGGACATAAAGTGAGTAAGCGTATATATGTGAAGAAATCACATCCTGAACACAAGTATAAGTATGGTATAGATACATGTAGGTAAAACATATATTCAGAGTATAAACATCTTATCAGGTAGTGGAAGTCCTTCACTAAGCCCATCCCTAAGTAAAATACTTTTCTACATTTTGCTTCAGTTATATGTGTTTAGTAATAGTTATTTTCTCTTTGGTCGCTGTTGTAGTGTAGATCAACAAGATGTGTAGTTTAAGCAGCACATAAACCTTATGGGTTGTAATTTCAAGCTGTGTGTATTGTTAACTTCCTAAATCTATTATTATATAAGCAGTTCTCATTATGTTTGGCTTTTTACATATCAGTAAATCTATGGTAGTTAAGAGATTACGAGTACTTGTCCTCCTTTTAACTTCCCATTCTAAATGTTCAAAATTTAATCTTCAATGTACAGCGTGTTTCTTTCAATTTTCCTTCTTTTTAATTAAATGTTTTTATTTTTCTGCATTTTAGGCCCTTGTTTGCCAAAGAATGAATTGATTATTTTGCCACCCCAAATTCTTACAGAAATATAAATTAGGAAATTTTATGATATATAAAGATGATAAGTTTTCTCTCATACCAGAGGATATTAATAAAGATGGTCCTTTTTTTCTCAGAAAACCTCTGATTTTTTCTTTTT